TTGTTTGGCGGCGGGGGGGGGGGGGGGGGTACTTGCTATGCAGGGGAAGGTGACATGGTGCTGGGATGGGAGGACCGTGAGCTTGGAGATTCAGGGACACCATTATGCTGGGGGCTGCTGCAGCCTAGCCAAGCTGCTGGTTAACAGGTAACCATCAAGTAACAGCACTAGGTAAGGGTGGTGCTTACAGCTTGACCCCTTAACAACTGACATCCCTAGTAGAGAACCCGGGGGCATTTGGTGCTAAGGGGTGAGCAGAACGTGAGGGGTCAAAGGCTGGTATGTGTGGGAGGAAAGGATGTTTGTGTGACACATTCTCTGAGCTGGAATCTGTTAAAAGTCTTGTTATGTTCGGTAGTTGTCTGGTAGCTAGATATGGTGACAGGTGGATTAGATGTGTACAGGGAGATTTAGTGAAAAAATGAGTTAATATTTATAATAATGTTAATCCTGGGTGTTTGCAGGCTTTGTTGTGAGATTTAGTGACATGAAAATTCTGATAGTAGAGTTTAACATGAGAAACTTTGTTGTTTCTTTTATAGAGCAGGTTAGAGACAGACTACCTGCATTTGGTGTACTGAAACCATGGTGCACTTTTCTGTGTTGTGAGGCTTATCCAGCGTTTCTCACTATGTGACTGCTGGGCAATTTAGAAAGTGAGTACAGCCAAAGACATCTAGAATACCAAATGAAATTAACACCCTCGCCGCCCCCCCCGCCCCCCCCGCATCTAGAATTGATTTGTTTTTTTCTACAGAGACAAAGGGAGATTCTGAAAACAAAGCATATGTGGCTCATGTTTGTATATGGATGAGTATCAGTATTTCTTCTGCAGAGTCAAACCCTCAGGTGTGTTAATATTTACACAGTGGAAATGTGGACACTTCTGCCTTTTCAATATTGTGGGGCTGTGAGATTGTTGTTCTGTAAATATTGAATCTGCCTATAAATATTTACCAACCAATTCACCTGTTACAGATGCCACAAAGTGGGCCACTCTAGAGGGGTAGGGTGGAGCAATGTGGTATCACATTGCAGTAGCTTAGTTCAGGACCAGTTTTATACTCTTTGTTCCTTGGCTGTGAGCATGGTGGAAACAGCATATTTAGGGGTCATTCACTAGAAGAACAGGTCTGCTCATTACAGGGAAATGAAGTAGGGAGATAATGGGGTCCTACAAAGACAGAAACTATATAGTCCCATATTTACCCGGAGTGACCCAGGAAGTTCCCAACATGCATGATATCTGTTTCATGTACTAAACTGGGGTGATTCCATTTGGACAGTCTGGGTCCTTCCATCACCTCCTTTATTTTTATTTGAGTTCTTTTGTTATCCACTCTTGTTTTCCTGCCCTTCAGAATTCTCTAGGGACTCTAAAGCTGATGTAGGAACATGAGAAACTCATGAGAATGGTGGAGGTTTGGACATTTGAAAGGCAAATGTGCTGGCTGATGGGGTTCCAGTCATTGTTCCCTGTAAGCTGAGCACTTAGGCAGTCAGTCTCCCAGGAGAGATACTGATACTACCCTGCTAATTAACAGAACACTCACAGCTAGGTTTCTTGTTCCTAGTGGTAGCACTCATTCACACATGCTTTGGTGTATGTACAATTTTTCTGCACATATATGGAAAAGTTTAGAAGGAACATTGGTCCTGTTCTTTTCTCCCTAACTCTGCTGCTCACTGACTGCACTTTTGATACTCCTGTGTGTGTTGTACTTTAGCACCCCAGTTTTCTCTGTCTTATGCTCTGTGTTGCATGGACACCTCATTTCCTTTCTCTTCAGGTAGGCACAGCCTGTCAAAGCCAATCAAAGCAGATCTTTTGGTGTAATGTAGGAAATTGCCCCTTCATGCACACCTGTCCTGAGGCTATATGTTGTATTCATATCACTCCCAGCTTCCCAAACACACTTGCTGCATGTATTTTAACATCCAGATAACCCTGGATTTCATATTTGTGGAAGGTTGCAAAAATGTTTGGTGCGGCACAGTCATCCAAAGCCCAGTTCCTCGATAAAGCGCGTCAGGCCCGGGAGGAGCGAAGAGAACTGAAAGAAAGAGAGAGAGCCACCATTCAGATCCAAGCCCTGGTCAGGAGGTTTCTTTGTAGATGCAGGCTGCAGCGGGAGATCAGGTGTGTGAAATTCCACCCTCTGTGCTTGATTGCTTTTTGTGAAATGACCTCTTTTGGCTGGTAATGGGTAACATTTGATTCCTCCTCTTTCCTAGGAGAGAAGTGGAGGATTTCTTTGAAATTAGTGAATCTGCTTCCAGTAAAAGAAGTGCACTTTCCATCTTCAAAATTGCCAGGAAACTGCTGTTCGTTTTCAGAATTAAAGAGGACAAAGAGGTAAAGTTGCTGCACCAAAGCATTTCCCCACTTCATATTTAAACTGTGTAACATAAAGAGTTCAGAATCTGACCTGCAGCTTCTTTTGTCTTGTAATGCAACAGTGGTGACAGTGTTGAGAAAGCGAAACTGAGAACCAGATCTCCTGATTTCTAATCCTGGCTCTGAAATTTAGTTAATTTAAGCAGGCATTTACTAATAAACCTGACTGGCCAGCTAACACTGGTATCAAGCACCACCACACTCAAGTGAGGGGTTTTGTGTGTGCTTGGGACTCTGATTAGGGGCAGTACTCAAGAACCTGAGTTAAATTTGCAATGAAGACAAAGGCCTAATGACTCAGCCTCAGTTTTTCCATCTGTAAAATGGAGATAACAACACATGCCTCTCAGGAGAGTTGTGAAGACCAGTTAGGGGTAAAGGACTCTGAGAATGAATGACCATATTAATTTGTATTAAATCAGTTCAGCCGTATGTTGTTTCCAGTCGCTTCTTTCCCAAGCAATTTTTGTTCTGTCAAGAAAAGTACAAGTACATCAAATGTTGTACTTGTATCTGATTCTAAATGTATACGTAGCCATATCACCTCCCACCAGTCCTTGATGCCACAGTGTTGGGTGGCCTCCAGTAACTAATTGCATCAGCAAAATGTCACCCACCCTCAAGGAGCAAACTGAGCCCTTGTCAGGCTAAGGAGTGATCTGGATTCTTTTCCATTCTTCTTTTTGAGAATCTTGAAATTACTTTCCCAAGTGAAACTGATACCATAGAGCAGGGGTTGGCAGTCTAAGGAATGCAAGCCATAAGTGGCATATGAGCTGATTTTCAGTGGCACACATGTCAGGAGCTCAGCCCTGTCCCTCCTCCCCCGCAAAGCGAAGAACCTGTACTGCTGCTGGAGCCCTCCCTCTTCCCTGACAGCAGGTTAGGCTGCAGTGGGAGGAGGCAGTGCAGGGGATGAGGTGGGGGTGGGGGAGGGGGCGCGGGGGG